GCACCCCGGAACTATAGGGCTTGTCACAAACAACCCCTAAATTACAAAACGTAACAAAATGACCCCTCAATTTTCAATCCATTTGTGTGTGATGACGTGGCTAGTTGACTTTTTTCATTTCTAATTTTTTGACGTTTTAACCCTCAATTTTCTATATTTGTATCTATACACACGTATTTATTCACATAAGCTCATTAAAATACAAAAAAAAAAAAAAATTAAATTATATTACCAACAAATTCACGAAATTAAACAAAGATTCCTTCTTCTTCTTCTTTTTTTTTCTGTTAAAAAGGTATCACAAACATAATATTAAGGGTTAATAGCATTTCGCCACCTGAACATTGCCCGTTTTTGCGCTTTGCCACCTTAACTAAAAAAAGTTGCACGGTGACACTCAAACATGCATTTTTTACGCACATAACCACCTGTAAGGAATATTCTGGCTAATCTTCCCACTTTCCGGATCACGCATGCTGCACATGCGAAAGTACATGGGTTTTTTCGTCTTTTTGTTTGCATATCCTTCCAAAGACCTAATTTCGCCCAATTTCCCCTCCATCTCTGATTTTCTTCCCTTTCTCGTACCTCTTCGGCAGCGAGATTCCACAAATCCCAACAGCTGGTCTGATTCGATGATCGCTTCCTCCCCATTTTTTTGTCAGAAAGAGAAACAGAGGAGATAAAGTGTTTTTTCCTCACTCCTTTTCGACTTCTGAGCTGTGACTTGTGCTAGAGGAAAATAAAATAATCAAATCCCATTTTTTTTTTTGATTTTTTATGATGTACCCCTCTCTCTCTATAAATCTCCAGAACCTAATGTTCTGTAGAGAATTTCATAGTGTCTAATTCACATTGTTCTAATCTATCTCATACTAATATATAATATTTCTTTTTTTAAATCAAGGATGTAATTTGAATGAGTGGGTTGCACATGTAGAGGCAGGTATATTGATTACATTCGTTTCATTGCCTAAAGTTGGCGATGATCTCAAGCGGATTCGATTAAGGTAATACTTAGCGGCAATCTTGAGATTTTTTTTCTTCCTTTTCGGTGTAAGCCCTAAATCGGAGGTAATACCTTAGCAGCAATGGATAATCCATGTTTTGTACTGCCACAAGCTGTGTTGGATTTGAAATCTAAAAGTTATGATTTGTTAATTGTGTGGATGTTTAAATTGGGCGAAATTAGAGAGGAGAGGAGGCATGAAGTAAAGAAGATGTATGAGAAAGAAGATGTATGAGAAAGGGAGGGAGATCAGAGATGGAGGTATGAGATGGAGGAAAAAATGAGTGAAATTAGGTCTTTGGAAGGATATGCAAAGAAAAAGACGAAAAAGCCCATGTACTTTCGCATGTGCAGTGTGCGTGTGCCAGAAAGTGGGAAGATTGGCCAGAATATTCCCTCCAGGTGGTTATGTGCGTCAAAAATGCATGTTTGGTACCACCGTGCAACTTTTTTTAGTTAAGGTGGCAAAGCGCAAAAACGGTCAAAATTCAGGTGGCAAAATGCCATTAACCCTAATATTAAATCCTATAAATCATGATAATACTGTAATGTAGTGTTGGAAATAAAAACATAATTAGTTATAAAAAAAAAAAAAAAAAAAAACCAACCATCTTATGCTTTCTGTTCTCCGACGGCTTATGTCTTCTCCAGTTCAAGCGCATCAATCGCTAATTATGCCTCCCAAATAGCGAAATCAATTCTCCAGCGACTCTATCTCCTGACGACTCTCCAATTTTACCATTCGGGAACCCTTGAAATCTGTTGGCAGGAGTCGGCGGGGGTTTTCAATTTCAATTTAATGAGGGGGCGGAGCAAACGACGTCGTTGAAGGTGCTGAAGAAGATGTTTGGGGAATCGATGGTGTTCTCACGGGCCTAGGTTGGAGGTGGACGTCTGCAATTTCACCATGGAGGAGATATGTGGGGCCACGTTAGCAGACCTTCGGGGAGTGGAGCTGAAGTCAATTGACGGGTGAAGAAAGATAGTGATGGTGGGAGGAAATGTTGCTGAGAAGAGGCAATCCGGCAAAACAAAAAACAAGAACATGAGAGAGAAAGTGGTTGGCAAGTAAATTTGTTACGATCCTAGAAAGCTTAAAAATCAAGAATTGGAAGAGGAGAAAGCGAGTGGAATTAATGGAGATGATCGTGTTAGAATTGACAATTATCTGTACAAGTGAGTTGTTTGAAGAGTTCTTGGTGAGGGGTTGGAAGAAATGAAAAAGGGAATTCATCGGACTAGCCGAATTCCATGCATCCGAGATTCTCGCCAATTTTCTGGCAGTTTTACCATGCGGGTTATAACTCTGTCATGTCACGTCCAATTTAGGTGATTCGAATTGCTAAGGAAAGCCAAGTGGAAGATATAAAACTTTTATGTTTGGATCCGAGAGAGATTTGGAGTGGAAAAGGTCAGAAAATCGAGCTTGAAGTCAACACACGTGCACAACCAAGTGTCTTACTCGAGTTATAAAGAGTGTTCGTGTGATCGACTTGATGTTTGGAGTTTATATTTTATTAAATTACGTTTTTATTTAGGATTTACGTTATTTTGGTATTTTAGAGTCCTTTTATAGTTAGAATTAGCTCAATTAGATGTTTCTTTATTATAGTATAGGTAGGAGTCCTTTTCCTTGTGAAAAATGAGTCTTTGTAGACCTTATAAATAGGTTGTCAATTTGGCCTATTTGAATTGAAGTTTTTAAGTATTATTTTGAGAGATTAAAATTCTCCTTCGTTGTTCTTCAACAACTCTTCGGGATATTTTGCGAGTGGATTCTTGTGAATTATTCTTAGCAATATAGTATTGGTTTTTGATTCATTATAATCACAGGGTCAATACTTCCACCTTGATAATATTGGTTTCTAGCTCTCTATAGATACGGGGTCAATATTCCGAATTCCGCCAATGAAATCCTTTATTTTTTGGACGTTCCGTTCTTACTTCCGCATAAGATTATTGGATCCCGTAACAAGTTTTACGGGGTTCGTAACCAACTGATGATTAAATTAAAAGATAAATAAATATAAATCATGAATGATAAATCTATGCTTGAATCTTCAAAGTCTTTGTCTTTGTTATTGCTTCTTTGCTTTCAAATTTGCATAAAAAGTGGACTCTTAATTGTGTGCTTGAGATGACTTTTTATAAGGTGAGAAAAATTGGGGAAAAGGCAGTGTCCTTGTAACTTTTGGAAATTCTTTACTGCGCACAGTCTTTCCTTCTTGCATATTTGACTTCTCCAATTTGCTCACATTTTCTTTTACATTATAGTTTTGACCCTCAACTTATTCAATTCTTCAAGTTGTGCCTGAAACACAATAAATCAAAACTTTAAACACCAATTATCAATAAAATATACTAAAAGATCCAATTAAAAGATATGATTAAGTGTAAAATATACACTTAAAACAACATTCCCCAATCAAATCCCCCTTCAAATCCCTCCATCCAATAGATTATTCATCGAAATTGAGTATTTTCGTTGCATGTTGCCCCTTTATATGTTATTTTTTGTTGCACTAACCCATTAAAAACACTATCTTTTTGCACATTGCCCCTTTAAAATGGTATTTTTATTGCACAATGTCCATTAAAAATTGGCTTGGGGCAAAGTGCAACCAAAATAATATTTTGAAGGGCGATTATCCAGTTTTTTAATTTTCGGGGGGGGGGGGGGGGGGGGGGGATGGGAAATGATGGAGGTCAATTTAACCACCATCAACATTGGCTCTTCCCGAACACCTTCCCCGATCTCGATTGTCGGAAAATTGCTTCGTTCACCTGAGATCCCGGGGAGACCCTCCAACGCTCAAGTTAACTGGGGAAATCAGTTCAAAAATGAGTTAAACGATGAGGAAAACGAAATAGAGAATACGATGTGAGATCTATGATTTGATCGTATGATTTAGTGTGTGTAGGAGTGTATATTATGTGCAAAATAAAGCGTACATTTTTTGAAGGAGAATGTGGTGTATTTATAAGTCATACCTACCTTTAAGGTTTGACCTAATTTTGAGTCCATTAAGCATAACAATATTGGACCACGGTCTGCCAACGGACTATTTATACGAGCTCAATAGTTTACCAAATCGATCCCCATCAGAAAATTTGTACAGGGTTGAAGTACATTTTGTCCTTATCTTATTGACAAACAAATCTTTAATGATTTAGTTTTTCTAGCAATTTGTAGAGGGTGAAGAACAGACAATGATATCAAGAACTTCTGGAACACCGGTATACATAAACGCCGGCCTAACCGTAATCCGTAACACAGTTACGACAACCAAAATTATTACAAGGCCTCTACAACTACTACTAATAATAATAATGATTTAGCTTCTTCCAAGGAAAACTGTGACCAATTAGTTAGTTTTAGCTACGAAACTGGGAGCGAATCAGCTTCGTCTAATATTAATAATGCTAGTTCCAATACACTATCCTTTGATAAGGCTGATTTATGGGCTGATGACTTACTTCAGATCAGGTGGCAGATATTATTAATACAAATTATTATTACATCACACCACTTCATTACGCTGAAATAACCGTTGAGGCCAGGAATTTCTCGATCGAAAATTTTGCATCAAAAGAATTATTAGCGGGAGGGATTTATGATTGCCATCTAACAAAAGTGCAGGTAAAATGTGATGGTCCAAGGTTGAAGCCTTTTTTATTCTAGTACGAGCTCATGGTGGTGTCCGATCAAATTAAGCATTGGACAAGTTATATCTACAAAAATAAACTGTAACAGACGATAAAAGTAATTGTTCTACAATTTTATAAAAAAAGAAAATATGATTTAACACTATGATACTCCAAATTGATAAGATCAATCCATGGTGCATAAATATTCTTATGTCCATAGTATTCATCTAGTTTGCAATTTTGCTAAAAGCAACAATGTGTATCACATTTATTCAACATCAAAACAAATCCATACCAAAAAAACAAAACAAATAAAAAAGTTGCATGCAATAATCCTAAATGCAAACTTTCCCACAAGACATTATTCCCAAAGTTATTTACTTGTGAGTGGCAACCGCAAGAAGAGGCACAAGTCTATGTACCGTAGCACCGGGGCTTTCAGTCATGTCCAAATCTTTCCCGTGTAACCCATCAGGCAATTCCCAGTTAAATTTATGCATGAGATTTGCTAACACAAACTCAATAGTAGCGGTAGAAAATGCAATCCCAGGGCAACCCCTTCTCCCGGCCCCAAACGGGATAAGCTCAAAATCGAGGCCCTTAAAATCAATAACGCTTGACTTGTTCAAGAATCTTTCTGGCTCAAACTTTTCTGGTTCGTCCCAACAATCAGGATCTCTCCCTATTGCCCAAACATTAACAAACACCCATGTTCCTCGTAAAACATCGTACCCTTTTATTTTCACATCGGCCAAAGCTACCCTGGGTACTAATATTGGGCCTGGTGGATGACAACGAAAAGCTTCTTTGATCACTGCTTTCATATAATCCATTTTCTCCAAGTCATCATCCGTTATATCCTTTTTGTCTTCCATGATATCTCTTACTTCCTTTTGCAATTTTTTCATCACATTAGGGTTTCTTAAGATCTCTGACATCAGCCATTCGAGAAATGTGGATACGGTATCAGTACCGCCTGCAAATACGTCCTGCACAACCAAGACACACACATATAAATATATATATATAACCCAACAAGAAAATTAGAGATATCGAGGATTTGAATATGTTTACAATTTATATTAGGGTTAGTTTCTCTTGGACCCTCTCCTAGATAGTGAAATTGCAGACCCACCCCTCCTAGTCAAAAAAATGACCACACCTCCCTTGCCCGCTGACAATCACTAACGGAGCGTGCGAAAAATCAATTCTACCCTCATTTTCCATTTTATTTAATTAAAAGAGAAGTAGAAAAATAGAGAAATTTCATTAATTTAATTAGAATAGTAAGAAAAACTATAAGGGTATTTCAGTCCGTCAAAAAACTCAGAATAGTCAACTTCGGTCAAATGGATAAAACTGGAAATTCACATTTTTTTCTAACGTCATCACTTTCCGTCCAAGTTTTGGACGGAGGGACCAATGGAGTAAGCGGAGACATCTAGTAGGAGAGATATATGAGCAATTTTTACTAGGAGGGGATGAGTCTGCAATTTCACTATGTAGGAGGGGGTCCGAGTGAAATTAACCCTTTATATTAATTAAATTACCACTAGTAATTAAGCATATATATGTTGAAGAACGTGAAAATATGAAGATGGAGATCGAGGGAATTGAATTGCCAAAAATTATGAAGTGTAGCATCAGATTAAAGCTGAGGTGGAAGAAGGTATGCTTTACCATGATTGTACCCAATGCGGACACAATTTTGAAGGACAAAAAGGTAAATTCACTCCCATACTAAAGGTGTTACTTTTTGAACGGTTGACTGAAAACGGTGGGGGTCCATTGTGGTACGTTTTGTAGTTCCACCCATTAACTATTTATACATACCCCATTTAGTTTACGAGTGCAAACTGTACTTTCCCGTTAGGTATATTAATATATACATACATATTATATATTGAAACAATATTATACTTACCAGAATTAATGCTTTGATGCAATCTCTGTCGATGAGTGAGGCATCCGCACTAGTTTTATCACTGACAATCTCAATCAGATTATCGACGAAGCTATTTTGTGGAGTTTCCATGTGTTGTTGAATCACATCCTCTAGGAAATCATCAACTTCCTTGGCGACTCTCTCCACTTTCTTATGGAAGCCATTAACACGACTAATCCAACCAAGAGATGGAATGAAATCACCGATATTGACGATTCCTGTGAGCTCCGATAAATCCGACAACAACACCATGAATCTCTTCCCCTTTTCCCACTCACTGCACTTCACTCCAAAAGATGACCTGCAAATCACATTGTTAGTCAACTCAATAAACATCTTACTCAAGTCAATCACGGCTTTGTCGGAAGAAGATATTTCCCTGCAGATATTTTTCACGACAAGGGCAGTTTCGTCTTTTCTGATGGAACGGAAAGATTGAACCCTTTTGTTATTGAGGAGATGGACAGAAAGAATGCTCTTCATCTGCCTCCACAGTTCGCCGTAGGGTGCCAACGAGACATCTTTACCGTCGTAGAAGAGTTTGTTAAAGGCACTCATGAATGGCCTATTAGCAAAGTTCAGGTCATGAGTTTTCATGATCTCTCGGGCACCGTCTGCCGAAGAAACAATAAGTACCGGCACACTGCCGAAGTGAAGAAGCATGATTGGCCCATGTTTCTTCGAAAGCTTTTCGAAATTCCTATGAGGGAATGACGACCCTACTACTATTTGATGGATATTTCCGATTATTGGCAGCTTTCTTGGCGACGGAGGAAAGTTCTTTTTCTTCGCGAACAACCATTTCGTCGTAATGGACCACAACAAGAACATAGATATTATAACAATTGGAAATATTGAAATTTCCTCCATATAAATTCTTGTGTTTTTCTTTACTGATTCTATATCTCTTCACTGTATGTCTTCACTATATGTCTGCAAGACAGGTTATATTATAATCAAACGTATTTGACTTATTTATGAATTCATAATTGTTATTTTAAGTTAACTTAACATCCACGAGGGATCTGACAACTGGCTTGGATTACCGCGTGTTTTTTATAATATTCAAGGGTCGTCTGGAAGAAGGCAATTCGAAATTTCAATTGTAATTAAATAAAGGATAAATAGTATTTGACCCCTCTTTAGTTACAAGTTTTTGCAAATAACTTTCTTGTGCTCGTAATATCAGTACATTAGTCCTTGACAGTTCAATTGCAGTCAGCGACAATACTATTATTTTTTTGGATTTTTTTTTGTTTGATTTGTTGACAAGTCAACGTAATTATATTACTGTCGTTGACGGTAAAATAACTGTAAACATAATAATATTACGGTCAACCCCATCAATATTAATTTCTTTTGGCTATATTGTTTTGTTTGAGTTATTGACGGATTAACGTAATAATATTACTGTAAACGCAATAATATTATTGTTGTTGACGGTAATATTAATATGGCTGACAGAAAAATTACTGTCAACAACATCAATATTAATTCTTTTGGCTTTTTGTTATGTTTATTTTTTGTTGAACGGTCAACATATTAATTTTACTCTATTACACAATAAGAATTACTTTTGGTGTGTTAATATTACTGTAGTAGAGATTATTATAGCAATATTACTATGTTAAACTGTAGTATATTTAATATTACTGTGTTTAATAGTAATATAGTTAAGGGGTAATATGCTAGGAGCCCCTCAAAGGAAACTTAATTTGAACTAAATGACAAGTCTAAATCCAATCTTTTAATTAAATCCTTTTTTTAAATTAATATATGAGCCACATCCCTAATTTTTTATTTATTCATATATTGCCCTTATACCCTGAATTATCTAACTTATACATTCACGTTTCTTCAATTTCAGATTTATTTCTCTTTATTTTTACTTTCTCTCCCACGTTCTCTAACTGTCCATCTCTCTCTCCCTCACGTCTTCCACGATTTCTCTTTCTCTCTCTTTTTTTTTCTCTTTCTCTCTCAACCATCTATCTCTTCCTTGTTTTCTCCAGTACCAACGAAGCCGGCGATGGCAGGTGGAGTCGTGGTGGAGAGGGCCGCGGCTGTGGTTGTGCGGTGCGGAGGGTTGTGGTTATGTTTGCTTGGTTTGGGTTCAAAATAGCAGATCTAGGATTTTCCATCTTCTCTTACTCGTTTTCTCCAGTAGCAACGAAGGCCGGCGATGGCGGGTGGGCTCGTGGTGGAGAGGGCGGCGGCAGGTGGCTGCGTCAGTGGTTGTGCGATGCGAGGGGCTGTGGTTATGTTGTTGAAACCATATGTTCAACTAATTGAATCTGATTTTTTTATTTTTAAAAGAGATTTTGTTTGGTTTGGGTTCAAAATAGCAGGTCTAGGGTTTTACAAAGGTAGTAGATGAGTATAAATGCGGCGGCTGCTATTAGGGTTTGGCGGCGGCCGCACGGGATGCTAGGGTTGGCGACGGCTGGGAGTTGTTGGCGGTAGGGTTCTGAATAGTACACCATAGTATATCGTAGTATATCATAGAACACCATAGTATACCATACCATTGTATTTTAAAATTCATAGTATACCATAGTATACCATTGTATTATTTAACAAAAGCGAAAATATTTTTTTTTTCGTAATTTTCAATAAAATGTTAAAAATAAGAAAAATGTATAAGCTGTTTATAATAATTAAAAAAATTTGAATGAAAAACGAAAAAAACAAAGATGACAAAGTGTGCAAAAATAAAATAAAATATGCTAAATGAAAAAAATAAAGATAATTAAATGCATAATAAAAAATAATAAATGCAGTTCGAATTTTACTGAATGCAAATTTTGAATTTATGAGTAAAGGGGCACTTTTGGAATGAATTTTATAAATGATGTGAAGCAAATGTTTTGTTGGACTTGTCATTTAGTTCTAATTAGTTTTATCACTAGGGACCTATATCTTAAGACCCCTATAGTTAATATGGCTGTCAACCACAACAATATTATTGTTTAAACGGGGGCAAAAAAATGCTAAAGAAAAGAAGAAAAAAAAAAGTCACCATTGGTCAGTGACGGCAGAAAAACAAAATCGAAAAAGTCACTATCGAAAACTGACGGAAAAATCACGAAAAACAACAAAAAACAATGCCGGAGGCCGGTCAACAGCGACAACGGACAAAATTGTACTCAAAATTGCGTTTTTTGTCAAAATTGAATAATTTGTGAAATTTGGATCAATCAATAGTCACAACCTTTCTTATTCCAACCACTATATTCTACTTCTACGACATCTATGTTAAGTTTGAGAAATAAACTGTTTCAGTTCACAATGATTCAAATCGTGTTGCATATACCATTGGAAAGTCACGAAAGTCAGATCTTCAACAAAAACAGAATAAAAATGGAAAAAAAAAAAACATGAAAACCCCAAGGTAAAGTCTAATTACGAAAACTCTCCTCTTGTTTGTGTAATTATGGAAATCCTCCTTTGATTAGTGTTTGACCATTTCAATTCACAGAATGCTTTGTCCATTTACTCTTCTGTTATTTGAAAAACCTAGAGAGTAAATTACGAGAAATCCCCCATGGTATGATCTAATTACAAAAATCCCTACATATTTGCTTAATTACAAAAATCCCCACGAGGTTATGTTGTCGTCTTACACAACCACCCCCTAAGGTGTTACTTTTGACGAAAAAAATAACAAATTGACAATCACCCTAATAACCCTTGGAGGAACGAAGTAAAAGGGGAAAATTACATTTTTCGTCATCATAATTTACCCATCTTTTAAAAATTGACCCTAAACATTTTGGAATTACGATATTAGTCCTTAATCATGCCATTATTTGACATAATTGGTCCGCCGCTTATTTTTAAAAGTTAAGTTGAATCAAAAAATGGCAAGTGCCTCTCACGTGCCTTCAATTTAAAACACTACATGAAAATAAACTTTTAACAATACGCATTGCGTCTTGTTAAAAAAAATCATCATTATTATTTTAATTAAAATTTAATATAAAATCAAAATTACGTAAATTCCAAAAAAACAAACTCGATAAAATGTTTCAAGATATTTTCAAAAATATTGTTTCAAAAATCAAAATATAGTCTAAAATTATGAAACATTGTTTCAAAATCGGCATTTTTGGAATTCGAATAAATTATATCATTTCAAACCAAAATAAAATATCGATAGGAATTGGGGAATTATAAATCTACGTTTCAGTTTTTACCTCTTGTCAATTCCAAAAATCCCAATTTTGAGACAAGATATCAAGTTTTACATCACCCAATATGGGTGAAAATTGGAACAAAGTTTTCTTTTTATTTTATTTTAAAATAATATTTTTCATTCGAATTCCGAAAAAAAAAGCCGATTTTAAAACACTATATTATTTTTTTAGACAATATTTTGAGTACAGTTTTTAAAAAGTGAGTAAAGTATGAGGACGAAAAATATAATTTTCTCAAGTAAAAGCGATGACTTCTCTTATCGCATTGGGTTGCAAGTTTTTTTTTATGGTTTATTTATATTTAATAATGACTTTTTTCAATTTCATTTATTTAGAACTGGAATATTATCAAAAATCTATTAAAAATAATGAAAATACTTGTCACCTAAAACAAGAAATACAAGAATATTTCCAAAATATGTAAAATCGATTTTATTGAATAAAAATAATAAAATACAAACAAAAAATACAAAACAAATCAAAAAAATTAATGTTACACGATATGTGTAGTTCATTTATATATATATATACTAGTATTTTTTTCTCCGTGCGATGCTCGTGATTGTATTTTAAAAGTGAAAAAAAATTAATCAATTTAACAAATCGATTTTTTATCTTTATTTCTTAAAATTTGAGATATATTGAAGGAAAATAGGAGATTGAAGCCGAAATGATTCTTCACGTTTCAGTGTCAATTTTGATAATTGTTCAAAATATAGTTAGAAAATTAGTACAAAGAATAATAAAATAAATAATTACAGAAATGACATTGACATTAGAGTTTCTTAGAGTTTTCCAACGTTTCTTTCTTTTATATATATATATTCTATTTTGAATACTTATAAATTGAAGAAATACAATATAGTTTTAAAATAAAAAATGACTATGGTTTTTTTAAATATATTACAATTTACCCCAAGTAATTAATATGCTTACAACTATTCCAAGGGGATATATTTTTTTATTATTATTATATTTTGCTTTACGAGATTTCCAATAATCTCAAAAAAAAAAAAAAAAAAAAAGAAAAGAAAAAAAAAAGAAACAAAACCAATAATGAGTATACTAGACAAAATAATTGAGGCTAGGGAGTCAACTATTCATTTAAAGCTAAAGGGTTGGTTGAAATAGAACGCATTTATAAATTAAAGAATAGATGAGGAAAGATTACAATACTAGACATAATAGTTGAAGCTGGGGAGTCAACTATTCATGAAATAAAAGTAAATGGGTAGTTTAGATACAACTTTCATTATGAATTATATATAGAGATACAAACCATGATCTCAAATCATTGTTAACGATGCACGAGGTACATACACAATATTTTTATAATCGGAGTAGATATTAATGACTTGGACATCCAACTTATTAATTACAGTCGTCGTCCGACCGGTTCACTTAAGAGTCATTTGGACCGGAAGAAAGGCAACTACATAGTTCTGTTGTAACTACAGTAAGGGATAATACACAGAGAAAAGTGCAATGGGGTCTTTTATTTCTATTTTTACTATCAGATAATTTATGCATATATTTTAAATTATCCCTACATCAAAAGAAAATTTAAATTCCCTTATTATGTATTTTTTTATTCTGTATTAAAAAAATATATAC